AGTCTTGAAAACATTTAAATGTAGACTTACTGGAATGTAATGGAGGCAGGATAAAGGTTACTGCTGGATTTTGACCGATAGTAACCTCTAGGAATTGCTTCATATTCTTTTTGTTGACGCCATCTAGTGGCTACTATTGTTACAGGAAATGGTAAACTTTATTTTTTCCTAAAAAATGTTGATTGTGTTTGGATGTGGTTCTGTGTCAAAAATAGAATAAGTAGAATTCTGTTGATTGTGACAAACACATAAATGCTAAATACATAATTCACTTATATGAATGTGATCTGGATAGAGCTAGCTGACCAGCAATTGTTTTTTGTCCCTTTCTTATGACTTTTAACCACCTTGCATATGATGAACAGTATTTGAATACTTGCAATACTTCTGTAAAACTTCATTTGGTTTAATAAAAGCATCACCTCTTTGGGATCTGCTTTATTTCTCTCTCTCTCTCTCTCTCCATTTAAAATGAAGGATAATAAAAAAGGCGATGGAAAAACAAAATGAGTAATGGTATGTTCAAATGTAATAAAGACCTGTGTGGATAGAGATATGGAAGAATTTGAAAATGAAGGGATAGACTCAAAGTAATTTTTTAAAAGGATGATGAAATGTATCATCAGATAATAAGAGGGAGAAACAGTAAAATATCATGGGTGTAGTAAAAAAACCACTGAGGATTCAGAGTTCAAATAGATCAGAAAGGTACTATAGTCACAAAAAAATGAAAAGGAAGAACAGGTGTATTTATTATGGCTTAGCTATCCAATTATCTTATTCTTTAAAGGCATTTAATTGCAGTTCTAAGTCTCAACAGAAAAAAGCTTCAAGTTATAGCATTTGTCAAAATGGCAAAGCTAGGAATAAAATATATGTTTGGAAATAAACAAAATGGAGGGAACATTTCAAAACATTTCATGACAGATTGCAAGATCATTAGGCTAATGGAAGAAATAGAAGGTAGAAAACAATCATGGTTACTATTTTCCCTGATGTTGCTGCTACATATAGAGATAGCAATGTCCTATGTGTCATCATACTTTGTGACATATGGTGTAATTGGTTGTGCACTGCACTATCATTTCTATTCTGCTGTGGCTACAAGTAAGAAACCAAGCCTTACATAAGCCATCCTTGTTTTAGGAATACAGGATTTGGATTCAAAACAGTGGAGAGAATAAACTTTCTTTAATGTTAAAAGTGTAATAAGACTAAAGAATTTCCTAGCAGAAAAGTCAGACATAAGCACATGTCGGAAATAGTATTCAAATGTAAAAGAAAAGAAGAAACAGGTAAATTAAAGGAATTAGAACCATAAATGTTAAAACTACAGAGGAAGAAAAAAGAATTGCTTCAGAGGAAGAAAATTAGCAGTCTTAAGGTTTAAGAGGTAGGAAGATAATAGAATAGAAATACCGTATAGAGATAGAAAATTAAATTTTGGCAGATCCAAGAAAATTGGTTTATTTATGTGCAGTACTGAAATTGCTTTGATTAAAATGACAGTTTCTTGCCAATTTTAAAGAAATCTCTGCTCTGTTTCTCCTTCCTTGGTTCATATTCTGCTTTTGACACCACCGATTATCTTTTCTTTCTGATCTGTTCTTTGCTATTTTTTTCTTCCTTGTTAAATTCCCAAAAATCCTTTACTTGCCTCCATGCTAATCCTGTTCAATAATTTCTCATAATGGCTATATGTGGTTAGCCCCCCCCCACCTTTCTGCATTTCCTCTCCTCTGCAAGTGACCTATGCTCTGCAGCTTAGTCATTATGGCAGAGTCTTCTGCTTTTTATCAACATTTTGCCCTTTGCTCCTCTCTGTTCAGTGTGCATATCATGCTTCATCTAATTCAAGATAATCTTCTAGTAGCATAAAGGTTCTGGTTCAGCTTGTTAAATCTCTAAGCATGTGTCAGTGATTGTACTCTATTTGCCTATCAATTTGATGGATACACTTGTAAAAAAGTTAGCATCCATCCATCTCCTAGAAGAATGAAATATTCTAGGAAATATTAAAAAGGCAGATTATTATATTTCCCTGGATGAGAAAAGGAGAAACATGTTTTTAAAGACAAAGCAGCTCCCTGCAGCTCCCGCCCCCCCCTTCAACTCCAGGATGATGGGATTAAGACCTTCACCCTCAGGACATTATAGGATTAGCTTCATTACCTCATCACCCAACAAGATTCAACCAAGCCTGGGACTCAAGACAACTACAAAGTTACCCCTGCATGGCCCCATGGGAGTCTGACAACCAATCAGGATACCTGCCCTTAAACAGGAGCAGGAAGCTCCAAGGCGGGGCCCAAGAGAGGATATAAATCTCTCTCTCACCCATGTGCTTAATTGCCCAGGACCTCAAACCATGTGGTCCTGTCCACTATTAAACCATCTTTCCAAACAGTTTCCATGTTTCCAGTGTCTTTCTCTCCCACTTGGAACTGAACCCAGATGGACATTTCTTCCAACACACTCATCTTTAATATTTTACCAATGTAATTTTAAAGTATTTGAATTTATTGTGTTTTATTTTAAGAAAAATAATGTGAAATTGCTTAATGGTGTCTGCCACATTAAAACATGTCTAACTAAACTGTTATGCAAAAGAAATTAAGTTTGACTATGAAATGGGGAGAGGAAATTGTCAAGCATCCCAGCATAATGAAAACCTACTCTAGGTGGCACTCTTGAGCTTTGTTTGAGAATCAGGGCTGTTGATTTGTGTTAGTTTCATATTTCAGAATGTGCAGATACCATGCCCCCAGAGAAGTGCCCATTCTAGCAAATAAATGTGATCACTGCTGCAGTTCTCCAGTAGAACTAATTTGTTTTCTAACATACTATAAACTGTGAAATCTAGAAGCATACTTAAGGGCTCTACAACAACAAAAAACTGCTAATTTGATATGGAACTGAATCCATGTTCTGTTCAGGTTTAATTTGTTTATTGTTTTGTGTCAGTTTTTGGAACTACTTAGAAGAGAAAAGAAAGAAGTCTAGAGTAGTTTCCTTTCCAGTATGGAAAAGGGTCATTTGCTTGCTTAAATCCTGATTTTCTGCACACTCTAATGTTTATGATTACTTAAGAGTCTGATTCAGCACCAGAACAAAATGCCACTGGTAAATTACTTCAGTGCAGTTTGAAAAAACAGAATTATTATTGGATAATTATTGGAAAATAGTATCCACCTATCCATGTATAAAAGTGGGAATTGAAGAAGCAGGATGACAGACTTACTTTAGAACTCAAAGACAAAAGTGAATCAAAATACTATGAAGTCTGGAATATATTTTATAATTGGTTAGATAAGAGGAAGAATGCCAAAAATAAGGGATAACGAATGTCTGGAAATGTATATATCAATGTATATTAATATATCAATGTATATTGTGAGTGTAATATTGGTTTATTAAATACATGCATAGTTGGTTAGGAAGTAAAATATTGTATACTTGATATATAATGAAGTAGGAGATATGTAAATTTGTATATAGAACAAGGAATAGATTACTTATTAACTTGATTTTGACGTAAATATTAGAAACCAGAGACATTGAGCAAAACTAAAATAATAATAATAATAATAATAATAATAATAATAATAAGAAGAAGAAGAAGAAGAAGAAGAAGAAGAAGAAGAAGAAGAAGAAGAAGAAGAAGAAGAGAGAAGGATGGAAAGAGTGTTGATGCTTTTGAACTTCATATTAGAGAAGGCAACTGACAATACTTAAAGAGTTGGACTAGGGACAGATCATCTTGTCTTTATGGTTCTTAGAATCAACACCAACTTAATGGCTCATAATTGCTTATTATCCATAAAGAGCAAAAATATCAGCATTTTTATCTTGGTGAAACTTATGATATTCTTATTTAACTCAAAGAACTAGTTTTTAAGAATTAGTGGCTTCTTATTTATGTCATTCTTTTTGCATCCTTTTCCTGGCTCTTCCCCTTCATAATATCCATAATACTTTTGTTAGTTTTTAAAATCATGGCACACTTAGATTATACAGCAACATACTGTATCTCACTCATTTCTCAAATTTTGATTTTTTTACTTTTTCCAAATATTCTCAAGGAAAACTTTTTGTAAGTAATCAATATAGATATATTAAAAGAACTCAAAAAACATCCTAGCTATATTAAATTACAGAGCCTGCAGAGCATTTGGGCTGACAAATGGCTTTGAAAATTATTTAATAAAAGTTCAGAAATTTGAGTTGTGGATTTTCTATAGTTAAAATTCAGAGTTCAGGTGTCACTGAGGTTCTGAATAACCTCAGTTTATTTTTTATTTAATTTAAATCTCGCCTTTATTATTTTTATAAATAATTTGAAGTGACAAACGTATCTAATGTTCCTTCCTCCTCCTGCTTTCCCCATAACAACAATTCTGTGAGATGAGTTGGACTGAGAGGGAATAACCGGCCCAAGGTCATCTACCTGTCTTTCATGGCTAAAGCTGAATTTGAACTCATGGTCTCCTGATTTCTAGCCTGGTGCCTTAACTACTAGACCAAACTGGCTCATTGTTTGTTTATTAAAGTGGCTGCAGTTTGCTTAGCTAAAGCCTAAGAAGGCAGATAGCCAGAATGTGACATTCTGCATGAAGGGCTGCATGATGGGGGAGAGGAAAGAAAATAGGAAATATTTATTTCCATATTTCCTGGTATTTAGTTAGTTAGCGTTAGTGAATTTAATGAATAAATTTTTCCCCTTTGTTTTTCACTAGATAATTTCTGGAAGTAAGCTTGATTGAAATAGTTCATAATAATATTTTCCCTTCCTTTCTTGCAACCAATTAAGTTTTCAGGTGATGGCGTCTTCATGTAGTATGTATTAAAATGGTATCTGTGTCTGTATACGCACACACGTGAACACATTCTGGATGCCTTTCTCTAGTCCACTGTTTTCTTTTAAAATACTAATCTGAGTAATTCATTCAGTGAAGGTCTGCCTCTTTATTCCATTACTAATGCATGTATCTGTACTTTAGACTGAATCTGGCTATGGATCGGAGTCAAGTTTGCGACGTCATGGCTCTATGGCATCCCTTGTATCTGGAGCAAGTGGGTACTCTGCAACATCAACCTCTTCATTCAAGGTTAGATATGAAAAACAATGATACTGTTGAAAGAAATCTATTTCTTTGTACATAATATGTATGTAAATAAATCCTGAAAATACCTTGATAATAATGTATGTTTTATTGATGAGTTCTGTTACATTTTCTCATATAGGCAAAAATACATGGGGTCAAAAACAATGTACCTGAATATCACTTAATGTAGAAGGAATAAGGAATGGCCTTGAAGGACAGGAGACAGAGCTGCTACCAAAGCAGAAAAGGGTCTCGAGCCCATTCCTAGAAACTCATTTGAATAAATATCTTAGAAAAACTTCTAGTTCACATAAAGATACAGGGAGGGAAGAGGAAAGTGCATTCAGACTTTGTACCTGAAGCTATTACAATAAAACTATATGACCCATATGGCTTGTTTTGTTAAGCTGGTCATTTATTTATTTCATGCTTTTATTATTTTTATATGTAACTCAAAGCACTAAACATATCTAATACTCCTTCCTCCTCCTATTTTATTCATAACAACTTGGTGAGGTGAGGTGGGTAAAAAAGAGTGACTGGCCCAAAATTACCCAACTGGCTTTTATGCCTAAGGCTGGATTAGAATTCACAGTCTCCCAGTTTCTAGCCTGGAGCCTTAACCACTAGAGTCTAGACCAAGCTGGCTGTCTTAGAGGAAGGACACATAAGCACAAGATTGAAGGGTTTTGGTGGGGCGGGGAGGCTCTTTGGTAAGAACACTTCAATTTTTAAATAAGAATTGCCTCATGATTTAGTACTGTAGATCTCTGAATTCCTCTGGCATTACTTTAGGGCAATGCTATATAACTCTCAAATGTATGTTTTTTGTGCTGTTCCTAAACAGTTATACCAACCCGAATACTTGGTTGCATATGTAAAGGACATTTTAAAATGTTTATGGTCATTGAATTAATAGACAAGATACATAAAATAAATGCTCAGATAGGAACGTGCTCTCAATAACTTAAATATACAAATGTTAAAAGGTGTGTGTGTGTGTGTAGTGTTTTTCTATCGAGGCACCTGGCCTCGAATCCAAGTTCAAATCCAAGTAAGGGTATGGCTAGCTGATGACAGCTAAATAGCTTGAAATAGATCTATACTAGTCTCCCTTTATTTCTTTATCAGCGATATATATATATAGTGTATGTGTACTGAATTAACACATTGTTAAAAGTATGAACATATATTTGGGTTAATATAATGGAACATTTTACTAACAATTTTCAGAAGGGCCACAGTTTGCGTGAGAAGCTTGCTGAAATGGAAACCTTCAGAGATATATTGTGCAGACAAGTTGATACATTACAGAAATACTTTGATGCCTGTGCCGATGCTGTCTCCAAGGATGAACTTCAGAGAGATAAAGGTATTAATTTAAATATGTTTAAACTAAATGATTCCGTCACTCTAAAATGGTATATATTGCAAATTAACATTCATTTTAGGTGGTGTAATATGATCTTATAAAACTATGGTGACTATAATGGACCCAGAACAGTTTCCTAGGGAGCTGCATGTTATCCCGATTGGTCTGCTACATGTTCCATCCAAAGCCTTGGTTGCTGATTGGAATAAGGCAGCTGAGGCGTTTGATCAGATCATGCCCATGTGACCTGTCTCCTCTCAAGGATCTCATCACTCCTCGTGTTTATGAAAGACCTGATGGAATGCAAGGTGTCTAGAGCATCACTGGTGCTCAGTAAAGGACAGACTCATCTGAACATAAATTAGAGTTGCTATTAAGACCTACATTCAGATAGTGAAGTTCCACTACTTTTCTGCCCTTATTGTCATGCCTTAACCCTGTTTTAAGTGACACAGGCCCACCTGGCTAAGGGAGGTGTGGAGATCCTCTGACAGGGGTGTGCAGGGGAATTTATGTAGCATCTATCAGATAAAGTCACTGGAATTCATTCCCAGTTGCATGCTGGCCAGAAGAGATGCCTAGAGAAGAGCCTTGCTGGTTGTCTGGGAATGGTTTGAATCTGTTGGATCTGAGGAAGTGCACAGAGTCCTCAGGACTGTGAGCTTGACTACGTGTTTTTTTAGATTAATCCCTCTCAAGTGTTCTTAATGTGACCCACAGGGTGTCATGTGAATGCATTCTGGTGGTGGTTATTTGTTCTTTGAGTGAAGGGGTTGTTCCTTTGCTTCTTAAATGGACAGTTGTTTGCTCCCTCCTCAAGAAGCCATAGCTGGATCCTGCTGTATTAGAAAACTTTTGTCCATTGACTCTTCTCCCTTTCTGGGGAGGGTGATAGAAAAGATAGTTACATAATAGCTTCAGAGGCCTGGATCCTTTTCAACCAGGATTCAGATCTGGGTATGGAATGGAAATAGCATTGATTCTGCTTTTGGATGACCTATGCCTTGGGTGGAATGGGGTAGTGTAACCATCCTTCTCCTACTTGACTTATCAGCAGCTTTTGATACCATCAACTATAGTGTCCTTCTGGATCAGCACAGAGGGGTTGGATGGCATGGTGTTGTGCTGATTTGCCTTCTTCCTTCAAGGTCAATTCCTGTCTGTGATGATTGGGCAGGAGAGGCTTTTATTTTCAGTGGGAAATCGAAATCATATAGCAAATAAAGTCATGAAATCAAAGCAGCATACTAATAAGGGATATGATTAAAGATCCCCTTAGCTTTATTGCTTAACTGGTGTTTCACAGTAACATTCATCTCTTCCCCACCTGTCCATTAGTAAGCTGAATTAAAACTATTTCTTCTAGCATTTGAATTTTTAATAATATTAATTTCCTATTTGATGTATATAAAAGTATGCAGGTATGAATATTTAGTAAGATGCATAGAATTTATATTTTGCTTGGGTATTGATTTAATAAAATGTTTTCATGGTTTACTAATACAGAAGTGCTAGCTAGCTGACACATTTGACATAAAATTATTTCTTTGCTATCTTCTGATTCTATGCTATGCATATTAGTAATCAATCAATTTCTTTGTTGTAGTGGTAGAAGATGATGAAGATGATTTTCCTACAACACGTTCAGATGGAGAGTTTTTGCATAATACTAATGGAAGTAAAGAAAAATGTAGGTATACTTAAATACATTATAATAGAAATGCTTAATTAATGATCCTTTGAGTACTTCATGAGTACATCATGAAGTAATTTAACATCGTATGATAAACATGCCAACAAACAAAATCATATATATTTTAATTAAATATGTATTTTATTTTAAATGCTCAGAAGATATGCAATATACTAATTTGCATTTTATAATTTTAAGACATTTTACTTAAAATTATAAAGCTTTAAAAGAAATTAACATTTCTATAGAAACTTGCAATGCTATCTAATGTTTACCAAATAATTGTTATTTAATTCGATAGATTTACTCATAAGTAAATGGATATAGGATCGAACCATACATTTAACTAATAGTTACTGAAACTATTTAGCAGTTTTATAAAATTAATAACCCTGTTCTTACTTGCTAATTTCAGAATGGTTTTATTCAGTCTTTTTTCCCCTGTTATATACACTCTTATAAGTTTAGGGACAAGTCTTGTTTAAGAAAAAGCCTAAGTATTAATTCTATTCAAGGCAGCTTATAACACTTTTAAAATTTGATTTCAATGATGTTGATACTTTCATAAATAAAACAATAGAACTTAAGGCGTGGCAGTCTGTGTTGGAACAGAAGTAGAATGCTTGATATTCTACGGCTGCAACTACATTGTGTTTATATTCAGAAACATTTCTTATTGGTGATGCCTATTTCTGCTGTTGATAAGTGTTCATCTGAGGTATTGTCACTCATGCTATGCTTACATCATATTAGATTATTGTAATGTAGTTTCTACCTTGACGACTGCCTAGAAACCAGACACAAATAGTCTAGGAGGACTTTGTGAAGTTATTGACCAATATCTGTTCAACGAGCCTAGTTGGTTTCAGAATGCTATTCAGATATTTCCCCTTTTTTTGCCATTTCCCTATAGAGAGATGTTCTACCTATATTAGTGACACCAATTTTATGGTTACTAAATATAAGATCTTATTAGAGGTGATCTATCTTAAATGTAATATTTTTCTCACAGAACTGTCTGCCTGATACCCTTTCTGCTTCTTCAGAGCATAAGCCAGAATTTTGTTTCAAAAAGTTTATAAGACTAACGAGACAGAAGACTCCATTTTGATACTGCTTAGTTTTCACTTTGATTATGATATTAAGCTAGGTAATTTCTTCTAGTAATGGTATATTTGACCTACATATTATATTAACAGCCTTCAGGATAAAACTGTTTTTAATAATACCGTAAGAGTATAGTACTGCCACTGTATATGGAAAACCTGCAGTATACTTCATATCATTTATGCATTTATTATTCTACTTTCTTAATATGCCTTGAAATTCATTAGATATATTCTTTGCTAGCCTTCAGGAGTGTTTTAATTATTAACTGCATTTTGTTTTTATTAATGAACTATTTTTTTAACTTTTATCTTATTTCTTATATCTTATTTGTTATGCTAAAATATTTGTATTTTCAAGTTGTAATCCAAGTTATATAACTCTATTATGCATTGTTATTGTCATAACAATTTACTTAAAATAAAATTTATTTTAAAATCTAGATTTTTGGATTTTTTTCCATACAGTCAGTCATTTTTTTTTTTGGTCTTTCTTTTCTTGCCAAATAGGAAACTGAAAACATATGGTGGTTTGGAGTTGGGATGGGCTTGACTCATTAATTAGATTATACAAACAAATGTATATTTTATTAAAAAACATCTGACATAAATGTTTTAGGTATACCGGTAGCATATATTGATCTTAACTGATTAAATCCCAGCTCTTAGCAAATGGAGAGGCCCAGTCTTAATATGACAACATCTAACATGTTTTGAATGATACATTTTTCCATCCTTAATATATATTGATGTATTTTTGTAACATTCTACCTCATATACTTTTAAATAGATCATTTATTCAAACAAGTTTAGCAACAGATGGCTGTTGCAGTGAAATACTGAAATCAGCTGTAGCTATGGAAAGTTAATCTGTTTAGGTACCGTATATTATAATGTCCTTCCATTTTTTTAGGACATTATTACCATGCCCTGATTATTTTTCAATTGCTTTTATAGTTCATTATTAGATTCAAATGCATGTTAATTATTGGTTTTAAGTGCTGTATCTTCTAGCTTTTAAGGTGGTTCTGTTTTAATTAAATCGCACTTTGAGCTGCCAAACTACAATTGTTACAAGAATATTAACACTCCTGCCACCCACACATTTTTTCAAAGTAGAGTTAAAGCACTGAGAAGCAGAATACACAAGAATATAGTTTGAAGAAGGCATTTCTCCTACTGAATTTTCCCTATTTATTCTCCAAATGAACTTTAATTGTCATATGTTTTGCTGTGTATAGGCACACAGCCTATTTTTTCAGGTAACATTCATTTGAGTAACCAAGGTTTGTACTGATACATCTATAATCTGTTTTTTAGTGTTTCCACATGTTACACCCAAGGGAATAAATGGTATAGATTTTAAAGGTGAAGCTATAACGTTCAAAGCAACAACAGCTGGAATCCTTGCTACACTTTCCCATTGTATTGAATTAATGGTAAAACGTGAGGAGAGTTGGCAGAAAAGGTTGGATAAGGTAAGGCTCTTAACTTGTGCAAGGATTAAATTGTGATTTTTAAAAAACTTCACATGTATTGACCTGTATTTACATTCAGTTATGTATAACAAGGACAACAGCTCTGAAAACGTCTTCATCTGCATTAACACGTTAGCAAATGTTGCACATTCCATTTTGGTTTTCCATGCACAAATCATCTACTTTTACTTAAATAGAATTAAAACATAGGCTTCAGAAATCTTATGTGGAACCAAAGGAAAATCTCTGAGCTGTGTTGGATATGCAGTTCAAACATAAATGCATATGGATAACTTTCATTTCTGGATTAGATTGTATAAATCTGAAATGTACTTTAATATTTGTTTTTTATTTTGGTTGTGATTGAGTCTAAAGAAACTTAATGCAGACAGAAACATTTTTGTTTTTGAAATATATTTTCCTGAATTCTGCCATGTCTCTGATTCATTATAGGCCTCACCATCTTTGTTTTTTTTAGGCAGTTTACTTTAGGAAATGTTAAATACTGAGACTTTTGAAGGTATGAATAAATTGTCAATTTGTTCTGAAATGGGCTGCCAGAAAAAAGCCTAGAAACTAGTGGATTGTGATTTCACTGAACTAGGGCTGCATAAAAATCTTGGTTTATGTAGGAAGAACCTGGCTAAAGAGAAATACACATAAAGACCTACGAAAAGAAAAGAAAACAAATACTGTACCTTTACAGGGAGGATACATGGGATGAGGGTGTGGCTAACTGATGAGGACTAATAAGTCCAAAATAGATCTATCTTAGTCTCCTTAGTCTCCCAATGGGCAGCAGGGTGCTTGCTGGCTGCCAGAAAAAAGCCTAGAAACTAGTGGATTGTGATTTCACTGAACTAGGCTGCATAAAAATCTTACGTAGGAAGAACCTGGCTAAAGAGAAATACACATAAAGACCTATGAACAAACCATTGGAAGAATATCACCTCTCAACCCTTTGATAATTGGAATAGAATTAATATCTCATTTGAATATTTTTACTTATTGACTTATTTCCAAAAGCTTTGATGACCTCTGGCTTGCAAATACTTAATTGTATTATACATAATATCATATATTTAGTTATAAGATTTTGAAGAATATATTACTTTGGAATTTGAGTAATTGAAAAAGTAGAGTTGAAGGAATTCTATTATATTAGATTTATTTATTTATTTATTTATTGAATTTGTATACCGCCCTACTCCCGAAGGACTCAGGGCGGTGAACAGCCAAATAAAATACATATAATACAAATGTTAAAAAACCATTAAAATATAATTAAATAATTGGCCCAGAAAACAAAATTTAAAACACCCCAAATTCAAGACAAATTTAAAATTTTAAATTTTTTTAAAATTTTAAAAACAATTTAAAAGAGAGGTTAGGCCAGGCCGGCCTGCTGAAATAGAAATGTTTTGATGGCACGGCGGAAAGTGCGCAGATCCAGGATCCTCCGTATCTCCGTGGGGAGCTCGTTCCAGATGGCAGGTGCCCCCACAGAAAAGGCTCTCTCCCTGGGGGCCGCCAGTTGACACTGTTTGGCTGACGGCACCCTGAGGAGCCCCTCTCTATGGAGCGTACTGGTCGGTGAGAGGCTACTGGTGGCAGAAGATGGTCTTGTAGATACCCCTGTCCTAAGCCATGGAGCGCTCTAAAGGTGGTAACCAAAACCTTGAAGCGCACCCGGAAGACCACCAGGAGCCAGTGCAGCTCGCGCAGGAGGGGAGTCTCATGGGAGCGCCAAGTTGCTCCCATAACCACCTGCGCAGCCGCATTCTGGACCAGCTGGAGCCTCCGGGTGCTCCTCAAGGGGAGCCCCATGTAGAGAGCATTGCAGTAGTCCAGGCGGGAAGTGACGCGGGCATGAGTGACCCTATTTAACAAGTCCCGATCCAGAAAGAGATGCAAGATTGACTAAAAACAGCATTTATGTTAGGAAACACCAAGCCAGTAGAAAGAAGGTCTCAAGTGGGGAATTAGCTTTGAATCCTTATGTAGCTGCAAGAGATTCAGAACTGACTCTACCCTAAACTCCATAAAACCTTATTTGTTACCAAGAGAAGGCAAGCAGTCTGGGGATATTGCTATATAATGTGCAGAATATAATAAAGTAGTTATCTCGAACTCTACATATATAGATAAGCTTGCTGCACCTGACAATTCAACCACATTTACTGTATAATTGTTGCCTCTGTGTTCCTGTCTCTTGACAAATAGTTTGAAGAAATTTTTCATGTACTCTGCATTGTGTTTGTATTTCTGCATCCTAAAGAAATACAAACATAAAGCAGTGACAATGAAAAGCTTCATTCTAAAAGTTGGAATGCACACACACATATATATATATGGGATGCATTCTTATACATACATATGGAATGCATACTTACCGTATTTTTGGAGTATAAAACTCACCGGAGTATAAGACACACCTACCTTTTTTGGTGAGGAAAAGAAGAAAAAGAAATCTCCCTCTGCCTCTAGCAATTTTGCCTCGTTGCAGCAAACAGCAAACAGCCTGCTTTACTTTCATTTTCATTTTCAGCATAGCTTGATTAGCACAAGGAAAAAAAATCTGCTCCAGCAATTTACCTCTTTGCAGCAAGCAGCAGAGCCCTGCGCAAAACAGCTGAGAGCAAATCAGCTGAGTCGGGAGGCCAATCCAATCAACTTGTGCTAATTAGGCTGTGCTGAAGCTGAAAGGAGCTGTTTTTTCTTGCTGTTTGTTTGCAAGGAGGTAACTGCTGCGAGGCAGAGGCCAAAGGGTGGGGGCCAGTGGGGGGGCGGGGCTACATTTGGTGTATAAGATGCACCTAAATTTTCACCCCCTTTTAGGGGGAAAAAAGGTGCGTCTTATACTCTGAAAAATATGGTATATAGATGTGGTTTGATGGGGTTTTTTTCCTTTTATATATGGATGTTCTGTGTAGTATCTCTCATGTAGCACTTTTAGGTATGTGGTTTTATTATTTTGACAATCTATGACTGGTTCCAACTAACTGATTGCAAAGGTCACACTTTAAAAGTGGTAGCATTTAAATATATATGCCCCTGAGCCTCCATGTCGCTGCTTCTCTCATTGTAAACTCAGGGTCAGCCTTTTAACAAATCTTTGGCTCAACTAATATATCAAAACTACTATGTTTCCTTCCTGGGAATCTGTAATGGTGGGAGATCTGCTAATGTATACAGATACTCAAACTGTCTTTAATCAACATTCTGTATAAGAGCTATGCGACCTTGTGGTCTTGCTCTTGACTGTTAATTGTTCCCAAAGCAAAAGTTCCTTCTTAATTTCCTTATGTAAATTCCATTTACTGTAATTAGAGAGTGTACCTTACTATTATACTTTATAGTGTGATGCAGTAACTTATAAAAGTCTAACAAAGTTTTGAATTGTTTAAGACTAAAACATATTGTTTCTTTTTAATATTCTTGTAGGAGGTTGAAAAAAGGAGGCGAATAGAGGAAGCATACAAAAATGCAATGACAGAACTAAAAAAAAAATCTCATTTTGGAGGACCAGATTATGAGGTATGCATTTATCTGCATGTTTTCTATTTTAAAGCCAAGCCTGGTCTTATATACTACCATTAAAGGTAGATTCAAATAGGTACTTAAATATTGAGCAACAAAGGTCCATTCTTATATTGGTTTGTTCATTATTTACCTTCGGTTAAGAATATCCAGAAACAAGAGTTCGGTACACAGTGAAAAAGCAATAAGAGCCCCCAGTGCTCTCATTGTGTTCTATGTATTAAATGTTGTATATTTAAAACGTATACTACTCTTCCAAATTATCAATCCTGCTTATAAGAAAGCTTAGAAAAGCAATATATTTTACCTTTCAGTTTTGTAATCATTATGAACAACTTGAATAAGATAAAATATGAAATTATGTAAAGGAGTATTGTAAATGATGAACTCCATTAGATTCAGCTCTGTAACTCCAAAAATACTTTTGTCCTTCTAGATCAGACTCACCCCACTCATGCTGGCAGAGAGGGCCTACCACAGATTCCATCAGTAAAAAAAACATTGGCTGTTGGGATCTAGAAGGGTGGGTGCTTTGGAACATTTCCTCCCCCACCCAGGTGACATCTGCCCCCGCCCTCCTATCCTTCCATAAGAGCCTGAAGATCTGGCTCTGCAAATTGGCTGAGGACCCAATGAGGGATTACCACACTGGAGGAGGCTATTAGATAGATAGCAAACCCCACCTCTCCCCCTGCATTCCTTGCTTCCCTCCACCTATATTCTAATCTCATATTTTCATTGTTTATTTGTTTATTTTATTGCTTCATTTTTCTACTATTATGTTTACAGTTCTTTTAATTTCTCTGTTTTTACTGCTAGGTAAACTGCCTAGAGTAGCCCCACAACGAGGTAGGCTGCAAATAAAATTAACAAATAAATAAATAAATGTGACATTGAAATGAACAAAAAGTATAGAGAAAATAAATCTGTCTTTGTACTTTGTTCATTAATGATTGGGTTACCTTTCTTGTAACATGTTTTTTTAGCATTAGAATAGAACAGTGCAGAACAGAACAGAATAGAATAGAATTATTTATTGGCCAAGTATGATTGGACGCACAAGGAATGTGTCTCCAGTGCATAAGCTCACAATGTACATATAAACAGCAAGAAATAGGTTATAGTTCATAATCATAGTTACAATCATTAATCATAAATTACAAACAACAATTGATAAGTCATAAACAAATAGGAGAAGATAATAGGAAAAATGAAAAGATGAGAAAAGATGAGAATGAGAGACTTTACTGTGAGAATTAAGTGTTCAGCAGAGTGATGGCACAGGGAAAAAAACATCTTTGTATCTAGTTTTTATGCAATGCTCTAAAGTGGCGTCCTGAGGGGAGAAGTTGAAATAGATTATGTCCAGGATGTGAAAGATCTGCAGATATTTTCTCAGCTGTCTTTCTGACTTGTGCAGTATACAGAACCTCAGTGGAAGGCAGGCTGGTTGCGATTATTTTTTCTGCAGTTCTAAGTATCCTACTACTGTGTGTAAATGCTTAGATATTCATTGAGCCAGATTTTCATGGTTTGAAAATCTGCATGTTTATTTATCATCTCCATTTAATCCTTCTCATCTTGATGCATTTTATTCATGGATAGATATCTTCCATTAAGAGAAGAAATCTAGATATAAAGATAGAAAATATGAAAAGACTATTGATATCTTTCATGACTTTATTTAATGCCTGCATGGGTAAACTGGTAAAGGGGAAAAAGTTTTCCCTAGAAGAAAATTTTGATGAATGCTTTTAGGGCTGAATGCTGTTCATGGCCTTTGTTATCCCAAATGAAAGGAGCAAAGGTGCTTGTTGCAGGCAAGGATAATAGCCATTCATGGCACGGGTCCAGATTCCTTGAGGAACCATCTCATCCCACTGGGATTGGCCCATCCCACAGGTGCCAGCAGAGGAGATATGCTGCAGACCCCCATTGGCCGAGGAATTCCACCTGGCAGGGTCCAGAAGAGCCTTCTCTGCCATCACTGATACCCTTTAGAACATTTTGCCCCCTTGAAGAGATAGACCTTCCACAAGAAGAGCTTGAAAGACTTGGCTCTGTTAGTTGGCCTGAGGCTCCAATGGGGGAACATCATGCTGGAGGGGGTCAATAGATTAATCACAGATACCACTCCTCCCCCCTCCCGCCGCTCATCCTACTCCTTCCCTTCTCATATTTTACTGATAGCTGATAATTTGTATTTTATAATGTTTTATTTATATATTATTGTTATTGTTTTATTTTTAGCATTTTAAGCTGACCAGTGTCACCTCATGGTGAGATGAACGGCAAATAAATTTAACAAATAAAAAATGTATCATATTTCTAAATGGTCAGGGCAAGTGTGCATTGTTCAGAGATAATTGCTGAACTATTTTTATAGAAATAAAAGTTAAGCATATTTTTAGTATTTCATTCAAAGTAATATGGCCTGTTCTAGTTTTGACTGGATCATACCCTGTTTTTTTAATTTTTGAAACTTATAGATGTATTTATTTCTATCTTTATGTAACATTTACTTGTCAAATTCTAGGCAGTTCTTCTTTTCTGTTTGCCTATATAAGGTAATAAGTCAAAGGATGTCAATTGTGTACAGGATTTTATAGTTTAAACAATTTCTGTCCCATAAATAGGTCTCTACTGCTTTGTCTTCTCTGTTATATTTCACTTAGGGTGGGCCTCTTGTCTTCTACTCGAAGAGTGAACCTGTTTTTATTTATAATTAGTTGATTTGTTTTTTCTCTCTCTCCTCTAAACAGTATGGTTTCCTAGTTATATGTTGATTCAGACATGTTTAATATTATTACAAAATAATAAAGCCCCATATTCTTTTCAAACTGATAACGTATCTAAAAATAATAATATAAGCAGATCCAAAGAAATCTGGTGCAGTGTTTTTATTTATTTGCAGCAGGGTAGATTTGATTTAAATCAAGTCAATTTAAATTTTTAAATCACTAGTAAAAAGGCTTGATTCATATCAAGTGGGTTTAAATCATAATTTTTAAAGAGCAACTGTCATCTTTGTCCCACAGCGGCTCCTCCTCTGACCCGCTGTTGACTCACTGAGAGTCCCAATATTGCAGAATATTCAGCCTCATGCTACATTACTAAGCTCCATTTCATGCTGAAGAAACTAAATTATTAATGTATTTTAAATAGAAAACTGTCTTTAGATAGATGTTTACTCCAAAAGCATTTTATTAAAATAAATTTGATAAAAATAAAAAAAAAAATCAATTTAAATTAAAAAAAATCCAATTTAAATTTTAAAAATCTATTTTTAAAAAAAAAAATTAAATCATCGATTTTTATCCACCCTGATTTGCAGTATACTTTTGAGCTGTCTTAATTTTGCACCTGCTATTGAATTTACTTTCTATTGATTTTTGCTATAGGAAGGTCCCAACAGTTTGATTAATGAAGAAGAATTCTTTGATGCTGTTGAAGCTGCTCTAGATCGTCAAGACAAAATAGAAGAACAGGTAATATTAGCAGATGAAGTTCTACTATGTTATATCATGGCCCCTTTTAGAACACACATACTGTAGTAAATATCATCTACAGTATACAGTTCATGGGCTTCAGAATGAATAGGACCATATTTGTTTGTTTGTTTTTTAATCCTGCCTTTATTACTTTTATAAGTTATTTTGTACTAATATTTTTTCTTAATTGTTTACATTAAAGTAAGAGAATTGCTGTTTGGTATTATGCAGGAATTATGTTTAAGGCTTTGTGTTCTTAACTTGGAAGATGGAGAGCCATAATGTGCCAATTACTGAGAATTATTTTTCAAATTATTTAATGTTTTCATGGTACATCCAAAATTCTAGGATAATAAATATATACATATATATATATATATGTTTGTTCCTATAGTCCCAAAGTGAAAAAGTCAGATTACACTGGCCAACTTCCCTGCCACCTGGTGATGCTTTTTCTGGAGTGGGGAATCATAGATTTGTCCAAAAGGTAAGATGCTTCCAAAATGTGACCTGAAAGTTGAGTCAATTCTGTTTTCCAATTAACATAATAGATTATGGTTATGTAATATGTAAAGATCCTATTATGTATGAATAAAGCCATTCAAACTGCTATACTATCTGCTGGAAGAAAAAATACTTATGCTGCATTGATGAACTTAAGAAATATTTTTCAGCTAAGCGTGCATGTTTCAAAATTAAGTTTAACTAAACTGTAATAAGGAGGACTTTTATTTTCCTAGTTTTCTGCAAGCTTTCATTTTTCACTCTGTTAGAGAATGGTTTATTATGAATTAGTGAACACATCTTGTATACCAAACCTAGGCAACAATATTTAGTATTCTGAGAAAGAATTCTTTATTGAGCAGTGTTTGGAGTATAATACATAATAGGTGCATGAAGTCAGCATTTGCTGCTGTACTTGCTGCTTATGGTGCTTTTGTTTCTTCTTCATAATCTTGTGCGTGGAAGTTGGTACAAAATGCTCTGTTGTGCCTTTGTTCTGATTACTTGGTTTTTTCTTTGTCTGTCTCTGTTAGCCCTATAGTCGCTCTTCCTCCATGTCTTCCATTGATCTAGTCAGTACCTCTGATGATCACAGATTCAGCTCCCAGGTACTGTATTTCTACATGCACAGTGGCTTTACCATATCTTCTTGCTGTATTTCACCTTCATGGTCACTTCTTTTCTTCTTGTTATGTTAATCATTTACGCTTGTTTTAAACAAAGTGCACATAAACTGTAGGAAGGAACTGTATATTCTAGTAGTGAGTAGGAGGAAGGTAAATACAATTGTGAAAAAGTTTTGTTGCATATCAATTCAAGACGTTCCAAATGTGTTTTATTCCATTCTGTAAAAAACAATACTTGTGATTTAAGTAATGTCCCTTATATTCTTGCAATTTTTCAAACACTGTACAATATTCAGAAAATTTAATTCTTCAACCTACATACTTAATGTTGTCACGACAAAAATTATTCATATTAATTCAAGATTCTGATGCTCCAACATTTAAGTACTTTGAGTTGGAGATCTATCTACTATGTGAATTTTCATCTGACGTTTGGATCATGGCATGAGCAAGTTACATTGGTTCAGAGTAACACTCATCTTTTTTTCACTCTTGTTCAATGTTTGTCATGTGCCCAACACCTCTGTTTTTAACCTCCAAGTTGGAGAAGACTTCTCAAATTTGTTAATTTTTTTAAAAGAACTTAAAGAAACTATGCAGACTCTAAATCCAGCTTCCAATATAAATAAATCTCTCCTTAAATAACCTATGTATAACATGGTGCTTTTTCTAAATATTTACTTAACAATTTGATTCTATGGTCTTTGGAGAGAATATCCCTCTAAAGACTAAAAACTATTTTAAAGAAAGCCCATGTAAGATTCTAAGAACTGAGTCAAAGAGGAATGTTTTAAAAGTTTTTATAATTCCCAATAACACAGGCTAGAGATCCAAAACCTTGTGGTTGTTGATGTTTCTGTATTTAGCTCTTTGATATTGCAGTTTGACTTCTGCAAGATATTAGAATTCAGAGAAAGAATTTGGAGATATTTTTTCCAGTCTTCATATTACCAAGGGTTATCTGCTTTTTGCTTTTGAATAATTATCTAGTAATTGAAGATTATTTTTACAACATAGAATTCAAAATGACATTTATTTACTAGCATAGACTAATTCAACAGTATTATGTAAAATATATGGCAGGAAGAAAGAACATTTCTACCCATCTTATTGTATGCTATGATACTTTTTTTTTAAAATGAAGGTTGTCTTAAAATGCAGACATCTTTTTCTTTGATTCTTTATTGTGTCTAAAGTTAAAAAGTTGAAACTTTCCTTTATGATCTTAAAAAGTTCAGGAATGTACCATAACAGAAAGCAAAAACTACAATATCAACTGTTGTCTTTGCTTTCAGGACGAGTTTGTTTTACAAAACTTAGCATGGTTGTTTAGTTGTCATTTGATAATTGAAATTAGTATGATAGAATTTGTATTAAGATGAAAGCCTAATAATGGATTTGTGAATAACTAACGATCATTGGAAGCAGACATGATGTTAGATACAAGACTATGCAACAACTTCAGATCAGGCCAAATATTTACTATTCAAACTAATAATTGCTAATTCAGAGAATACTCTTAAATTGAGCAATTTGTCTGTGAGATTCTAAAATGTGTGTGCTGTTTGCCAAACACAGTTCCTCCATTTTTATGCAAGAATTTTAAAAATTATTGATTACATGTGACCTCTCTGTAAAATTTCAAACAGAGTTGAGTTAGCTTTAAGAAACAATAAATATGTAGGTAGATTTCCATTATGTCTATTTCATTCAATTATAAAATACTGGCATGAATAAAATCATACTGCAAGTAATGTGGTTCTAGTGTGTATATAGAAAAAAAGTATATAATTCCAAAGAATCAAGATTTTCCTTGAAATATCTGTTAACCTTTAGAGTTATGAAGATGTTGAAAGATATTGCCTTAAAAACCAAAGTGGTAATTGAAAACAGTGCTTCAGCATATTGCATAGCAAGCTGGGCTTTTCTTTTGCTAGTAGAATAAAATAAATTATTCAGGTAATAAAATTTATCAAATAGACAGGAAAAGACTGCAAAATTGGAACAACTTATATAATTTATGAGGCTGGAAACGTTCCTGTTACTTGGTACAGTATTTAAATTACTTGTACACAGAAAACTTAAGATACTTAGCAGTAGGAAAGAGACTTGATTGAAGACTGTTTGGCTTTGGGAATGATTAACTGTGTTCTTTTACTTTTGCATAGTGTTCAGAGTAGTGCTTCTATATCAAACGAAGGTTCCTGTTTTAAAATGTGAATCAGTCAATCGATTAAGCTTTTAAGCAGTACAGTTTCTACAAAGTAGACTTTCTTAGTGGTTCTCGAGTCTACTTTCTTAATTTTGAATAATTTTGAGTCTTAGGTTGATTGCTGTGTGATTTTATAAACAAATAGGTCATATCTTTCTAAGGATATTTGATGATAGAAAAGAAAGTCATTTAGTGGTGTTCTCTAATGTCATATAAGGTACAGTAGAGCAGAGATAAGCAGATTGAGATAGGTATATTGATAAGCACATGGATTGCTGGTAATTTGAAATAGTCTAGCAAATGTTCCTAACGCTAATGAGAGCATACTCCCTATTTAGACCCAGTTTGAATATTTACTTTTAAATTTACTTAAATTTAACATGTCAATTTAAGTCTGTTTAAATATATCCAGAAATCATATTAATATAAATTGTTTCCTAAAGAGGCACAACAAAAAAATTAATGCATTGTGATTAAGAGAATTTTTATTTGAATTCCATGTATTTGTGCTTGCTTACTTGCTTGCTTTGCTTGATTGCTTGCTTGCTTGCCTGCCTGCCTGCCTGCCTGATTATGGAAGATCTTTGCCCAAGTCTGTTTCTTTGTTTGTAATATATTTTTGCACAGTCATTTTACTTATGTATTTACTTATACAATGATTTATTTAATGGCATGTTCTAGGCAATCATGTGATTATCTCCAGGCTACAGAAGAGCTAAAAACATTCCATAAATGTATTTTTAATTTATTCCTGTTTTGTTTTGAAAGGTGGAAGAGATGGTGCAGAACCACATGACATACTCGTTACAGGATGTAGGGGGTGATGCTAACTGGCAACTAGTAGTTGAAGAAGGTGAAATGAAGGTAGACAGAATATTTCAAATTTTATAAATATGTTAAAATATATAATAATTTAGACAAAGAGTTGCTAATTTCCCTGAGGATATTAATTCAGTAAAAAGATTGAAATTGGATCTCTAGCTTTGGTTCCAGCTTTAAGCTGCTATTTGTTTTTGCTATTTAGAATGCATATTACTTTGTTTCTCTCTGTCCAAAATAGTGTTTACAGTTCTAGTCTATACACTTGAATATGAGAGTACTAGGAAAGCATAAAAATATTCCAAAAATTCTCAGAGAACTCAATTTCCTTCTGTACTAGAAAAGGCTGGAATGTTTGGAACTTTGTAGCTTAAAAAAAGGATATGAAGTGGAGACATGATTAAACTGAATGAAATCTTACATAGAATGGAAAAAATGGAAGTTTTTCTCCTGTCAAAATATTAGAACTTATAAAGTTGATTGAAACAATATTTAAAATGAACAAAATGAAGCATTTCTTTGTACAGAGCATAATTAACCTGTGAAATTAATTATCAGTAGATGTGATAACCACTAACTTGGATAGGATTAAAGGGAACTAAATATATTCATTGAAGACAGGTCTATCAAGGCCTACTGCCTTTAAAAATTCAGTTACCTTTAGCATGGGGGGCAGCATATCTACAGATGCCAATAACAGAGGAACAATAGAGGGACACGTTATATATCCATCCCCAACTTGTGAATATCCTAGAGGCATCCGTGTGAGAAAAAAAATGCCACAATAAGATGGGACCTGGTGTGATCCAGCAAGTCAGTTCTTATGTTCTATATTTAAATGAATGGTATTTCTACCGTAATTTTACTAATCCAGGATTGTCTCCACCAACTTCAAAAGTGAATTAAGAATATAAAAAAAAAGTTTTTAAATATTTTATATTTATTCAAAGGTGTACAGGAGGGAGGTAGAAGAAAATGGCATTGTTCTAGATCCATTGAAGGCCACACATGCAGTCAAAGGAGTTACAGGGCATGAGGTCTGCCACTATTTCTGGAATGTTGATGTTCGCAATGATTGGGAAAGTAAGTAAAAGTAGTTTGTTTATTTATTTGTATTTGCTGCTATTCAATTGACACCCACTTCGTCCAGTTCCTTATGTTCAGCTAACATGTCTGGAAATTCTAGGACTCACAGTTTTAACTTATTCAGAGGACAGAGATCTGTCTAATTCTAGTCTAACTGATATGTGTCAGTATTATTGCTATTATTCAATTATTTCGTTCTTTTCTTTATTTTTGTCTTGTCTTTAGCAACCATTGAAAATTTCCGTGTTGTAGAAACCCTAGCTGATAATGCAATCATCGTCTACCAAACACATAAGGTAATACTTAGCATTGTTTCATAACACTTCAGAGTGGTGTAAGTGCTATGAAGAAAGAAAGCATCTAAAGGTTATAAATTTCTGTCTTATCTGAACTGGTTTTTCCTGTTAGAACATTGCCTGAATCATCAGGAAAAAATAGAGTTACAGATTGATGTTTGTTATTGTTTTGCAAAATTTGGTTAGAAGTTTCTTTAATCTTGATCATGTATTTTTGTTCCAAGCAATTCAGATCTTATTTGTTTTTAAGTGCAATAATAATTGAGGAGAGACTATAGCTCAGTAACAGAACATAAGCTTTGTATCCAAAGTTCCAAGTTTCAGTCTTTCCCCAGATGCTATGTATCTGTGAGTGGGTGACAGGAAGAAAATCATTTCCTAAATCATTTAAAAATATTTCTAAAATGATGCCCTAATTATCATGCCCTAATTATCCAAAGAAATGGCTAAGACCAAACTACAAATTGGGATATCTTCATCTTGAAGAGTAACTGATTTTGCAGTAAAGACACAATCTTACCATATCAATAGAGGAGAAGATTTGTAACTCGGGGTTGAAATGAAGGGTACTTGGTGCTCTCTGAGCTTGGTTGTTTACTTGCAGACATTTCATTACCCAAATTAGGTAACAGTTTGAGCTCAGAGGTAACACCAAGTACCTCTGAATCTTAAGAGTATCTCTATATTAAACAATGTATTATAATTGTCTTCATTTATTTATTTAAATGAAATGCATCCTCATCTTTTGACCAACAGCTTAAGATATCTAGTACAGGTAGTCCTCAATTTACAACCATTCATTTAGTGATAATTCAAAGTTAGATTACTGAAAAAAAAAGTGATTTGTCATCAAATTGGCAACAAGTTTATATTTACAACGGTTGCAGTATCTCAGGGTCATGTGATCACTATTTGTAACCTTCCCAGGCGCTTCTGACAAGTAAAGTCGAGGGGGGAAGCTGATTTTGCTTAATGACTGCTTGATTCACTTAATAAGTACTGTGATTCATAACAATCCCGGCAAAAAAGGTTGTAAAATTGGACTTAACAACTATCTTGCTTAACAACCTAAATTTTGGTCTCAGTTGTGGTCGTACCTTGAGGATTACCTTATACATACCTCTGTATTAATTCTCAAACCTGTGTTATGGCCCGCCAGTGGCCAGCAGTGCTGGTAGCAGATTCGGACAGTGAGGAGGTTGGGGAGGAACATGGGCCAGTCCTGGAGTCTGGGGAAGGCTCTGATGAGGGCTCTGCATCGGAGGCAGAGAAGGGGCTAAAGAACAAGGGTTGACTTGGGAGTAAGGCCACAGGTAGACAATGAATGGCCTCTCCCAGAGGGAATAAAAGAGGAGCAAAAGGGGAGTGGAGTTTGCAGGAGACAATTAGTTTGCTTAATTGGTTCGTGACTCCTTGCCAGGTTTTGAAGATATTGGCCTGGCAGCTCTCCAAGCCAGATAAGGTCTGTGACTATAAATTCTCCCTTGAAAGACTTTGCTGGATGTGAATGAGAATAATTCACAGTAACTTAATAAAAAGGGGTTTTTGTCGGGACAAGGCGTCTGCTTCATGCTCTCGGGAAGCCTAGGTCAGAACAACCTGAGAATTAGGGTGAGCAGAGAAAAAATGATGAGGAAGAGTCATTCAGTAACTAGGTGTGTCAGTTTTATCTTGGTATTTACTACACCATTCTGGCCATGGCATAATTTACTTCATTAAAAGTGTGAATAGTGTTATAAGAGGAATATTGTGGTTAATACACACACACATACATGCGCACACGCACACACAACCATAGCTGTGTGAAGATGGGAAAGTTAGGAGGAAAATGAAGAAGTAGAACCCAAATATAGGAAGTCTTCAACCTACAATATTTCATTTAGTGACCATTTAAAGTTACAACGGCACTGAAAAAAGTGATTTATGACAATATTTCACACTTATGACTGTTGCAGCATCTCATGGTCACATGATTTACCGTATTTTTCGGAATATAAGACGCACCTTTCCCCCCCCCCCCACAAAAGGGGGTGAAAATTTAGGTGCGTCTTATACACCAAATGTAGCCCCGCCCACCCACTGGCCCACACCCTTTGGCCTCTGCCTCGCAGCAGTTACCTCCCTGCAAACAAACAGCAAGAAAAACAGCTTTCAGCTTCAGCACAGCCTAATTAGCACAAGTTGATTGGATCGGCCTCCCGACTCTCAGCTGATTTGCTCTCAGCTGTTTTGTAGGGCTCTGCTGCTTGCTGCAAAGAGATAAATTGCTGGAGCAGATTTTTTTTCCCTTGTGCTAATCAAGCTATGCTGAAAACGAAAATGAAAGTAAAGCAGGCTGTTTGCTGTTTGCTGCAACGAGGCAAAATTGCTCAGAGGCAGAGGGAGATTTCTTTTTCTTCTTTTCCTCACCAAAAAAGGTAGGTGCGTCTTATACTCTGAAAAATACAGTACATTTGGATGCTTGACAACTGTCTCACAAGTTATGTTGGTTGCAGTGTCCCAGAACTCTGTGATCCCCTTTTGTGACCTTCTGACAAGCAAAGTCAATGGGGAAACCAGATTCACTTAACAACTGTGTTACTAATTCAAGAACTGCAATGATTCACTTAACAAATGTGGCAAGAAAAGTCGTAAAATGGGGCAAAGCCCACTTAACAAATTTCTCACTTAGCAACATAAATTTTGGGCTCAATTCTGGTCGTAAGTGATCAGTCGATACCCATGTATGTAATAAAATTGTCCTTACAATTATTTTTCTTGAAGTTTGCAGCAGATGATTTAGGGAAACTAAAGTTTGTACTTTGACTTTACCAATATTTAGATTGGGGTCGAAATATTCTTTTACTTACAGATTGGCCACTTTGTCCTATTTGGATTGTAATGGACCAATCTACAAAAGTGTGGGTAGGAGCCAGTGGTCGGTTTCAAAATTTTTTACTACCGGTTCTGTGGGTGTGGCTTGGTGGGCGTGGCATGACTTGGTGGGCGTGGCTTGGTGGGCATGGCAGGGGAAGGATACTGTAAAATCTCCATTCCTACCCCACTCCAGGGGAAGGATACTGTAAAATTACCATTCCCTCCCCACTCCAGGGAAAGGTTACTGCAAAATCCCCATTTCCTCCTAATCAGCTGGGACCTGGGAGGCAGAGAATAGATGGGGGCGGGACCAGTTAGAGGAGGTATTTACCGGTTCTCCGAACTACTCAAAATTTCCGCTACCGGTTCTCCAGAACTGGTCAGAACCTGCTGAAACCCACCTCTGGTAGGAGCTTATGGAAAAATTCTCTTTCATCCTCTCGCTTATTTCTAGTCTTGGGTGTAGTTCGCCTGGTTCACAGTTGGCATCCTTAATAATAAGCATACAATTATTTTTGCAGTTCTGAATAGCATCACATTCTGCATAGATGGATGTAATAAATGATGGCAATTACTGATTATTATTATTATCCTTGCTTGGATGTAACACTCTTTGTAAAATCTAATCCAAAATTAGGACAAAAGTGTGCAAAACATTCCATCACAGAATATTCTGATCTTAAAATGTATTGTACCAAGTTATTTTCTCAAGCTCTCCAATATGGGTTTAATAATATTAAGCTACTAAGAGATGCAGTGGCTCAGTGGCTAAGACACTGAGCTTGTCGATCAAAAGGTCGGCAGTTCAGTGGTTCGAATCCCTAGTGCCATGTAATGGGGTGAGCTCCTGTTACTTGTCCCAGCTTCTGCCAACCTAGCAGTTCGAAAGCATGTAAAAAATGCAAGTATAAAAATAGGGACCACCTTTGGTGGGAAGGTAACAGCGTTCCGTGCGCCTTTGGCGTTTAGTCATGCCGGCCACATGACCACGGAGACATCTTCGGACAGCGCTGGCTCTTCGGCTTTGAAACGGAGATGAGCACTGCCCCCTAGAGACGGGAACGACTAGCACATATGTGCGAGGGGAACCTTTACCTTTACCTTTAATATTGACCTAAATTACAGGTTTGCTTTAAAAATTAGAACAAACAATATGATTTTAAAATCAAAGGAACATTTCAATAATATAGAAAACTTGTATCCAGCTGTCTTGAAAGTCACAGCATATAGATTGTTAGGGATCTGAACATAACAACTCAGCTTTGAACTCTTTATATACAATAATTCCCTTTAAATCTATGTAGGCACATAATCAAAAAATAATTTAAAAATATTATTTTTTTTAAAATTTACATTATGCCAATCCAAAACTTTATATATTGTATTGAAGGAATTTGTGGTGATATATATTTAATATATTTTTGTTTTCAGCAAATTAGAAATAATAAATGTTGGCAATTAGCATTAGTTATCAAAAATAGATAAAACAATGCAACACAACTTATTGCTGTATTATCTAAAATTGAGAAGTACTTTGCATTGATGGTAAGTAAAAATGTGGGGGATTGCATTGCTTGGAAGAACACAATATGAGAGTCTGTTGAATTTTAAACATTTTTTGCTCTTTGGTGATAAGTTTTGTTTTGGCTGTCGTATTTTAGCTTATAAATGAAGTATTTGGTAATACTATGCGTTTTTCTATATGTGTTCCTGCATAGAATTATTGAATAGATAGTTCTTTTTATATTTTTCTCTGGGATTATATGTGTAACAATCAGTATCCTCAAATTTTGATTTATTTCTCTTTTGTATTATTAGGAATATTGCAGAAGTGCTTTTTTTTTAAAATGAATATTTTAAAACATATAAATGCTTTCTTTCTAGCGAGTATGGCCTGCTTCTCAACGTGATGTGCTGTATTTATCTGCTATTAGAAAAATACCAGTTTTAAATGAAAACGACACTGAAACATGGATTGTCTGCAACTTCTCTGTAGAACATGATAGTGTTCCTGTAAGTAAAACTTGTAGTTCTGAAGGTATTTATTGTTGAGGAATTCCTTTCTTAATTGCAGTGTTTGTGAACCCTAGGGCAAGGATAATTTAAAAGAAAAGAATGGAAAAAATTCAGGATATTTAACTTAATGAGTTTTTTTTAATGGAAAGAAAAGGAAAGAGCATTGCCAAAAAGGCATTAAGAGTTGTTAACCTAATTTTGCAAAGCTTCTTCTCCAGTAACATTGTACTGCAAACCAGGGCATACAAAACCTTTGCCAGACCAATTCTCAAATGCAGCTCATCTGCCTGGAAGCCATACTGTATAAGGACATTAATACAACTGAGCGAGTCCAGAGGTATTTCCCGAGAAGAGTACTCCACTCCTCTGCTCGCAATAGAATACCTTATGCCACCAGGCTTGAAATTTTGAACCTGGACAGCCTAGAACTATGCCCTGGTCTGACCTAAGCTTAGTACACAAAATTGTCTACTACAACGTCCTACCTGTCAATGACTACTTCAGCTTCAACCGCAATAATACATGGGCAAACAATAGATACAAACTCAAAGTAAACCGCTCCAAACTCGATTGCAGAAAATATGACTTCAGCAACAGAGTGTTCAATGACTGGAATACAATACCTGACTCTGTTGTTACATCCTCAAACCCCCCAAACTTTAACATTAAACTGTCTACTGTTGACCTCACCCCATTCCTAAGAGATTTGTAAGGGGGCGTGCATAAGCGCACCAGCGTGCCTACTGTACCTGTCCTACTGTTCCCATTTATTCATACTGATTTCTTATGTACATACTTATACCTGTTTATACTTGTATAAACAGGTATAAGTAACATATATGTTATGTTCATACTTATACTTGTTTTCTCATACATGCTTGACAAACTAAATAAATAAATAAATATAAATAAATAAATAAAGTTTATGCCATCATATTTCTTTATAGTCAGCATTTAATCAGCAACAATGTGAATGATTGTGTTCCTTGACAGACAAACAATCGATGTGTTCGTGCCAAAATAAATATTGCTATGATTTGCCAGACATTGGTAAGCCCTCCAGAAGGAAACAAAATAAGCAGAGACAACATCCTATGCAAGATTACATATGTAGCAAATGGTAAGACATGACTATTTTCTTGAAATGCATATGTAGTTGTGTTAGTGCAAAAGGGTTTTTTCCCCCTCATTTACAGATAAAGAACCATACAATAATAAGGCAAAAGGCCTATGTACATACTACAGTTGTGATTTATATACATGGCACATGGCAATTACCTTTTCTAAAGATATTGCAACAACTAATTCCGTTAGGAAATGGTTATTTGTCTAACTAGTTGGTCAGGCAATAAATAAACCAACAATGTATGTTTGCAGTCAGAAAGTTTTTATATTGCTTTAAGACTGTATTGCATCATCCTGTATCCTGATTGGCTAAGTTCTGTAGCCCATGTACTTAAGGGAAGTCAGGATCATGGCTTGTGTGGATACTACACCATTTTACCTGCTTATTTACTGAAACTCTCTACCTGATCTCTCTGCATGATCACTGTTTGATCATAGCTACATGTTGCTTTCTACTATTTATTGAATGTTTTGATATTGAACTTGTTCCTGTTTTGAAACTCAAGAAGAACTGTTTTATTGTGTATGACTACAACTGGTAAGAAGATTTTGTACTTGAAATATCCCTGGATTGATCTTTTAACTCTCGTCTTATCTGTGTATGACTTGGATTGTTTTTGGACTTTGCTTTACTTTTTTCTAAAAGTAAAAGACTACAACAACTCAGTGGGTTTGTATGTTAACTGTGATTGTTCACAACCACTCCCAGTCGCTTTTCATGCGTTTATTCAAAGGGTACTCTGCTCAATAACCCACAACATCGGTTATTAGCCAAGAATATCCTTAACATTGGTTATGGGCCCAGAGCACTGAGAGTTGGTGTGAATACACAGTACTATATTCAGACAGCTGTGTTTGTTGATCATTGTCCAAGAGAAGATGGCACAAGAACAGTCATCCAGCATATCCTTGATAACCCGTTTGGATGGAACAAACTATGTTTCCTGGTCCATGAAATGCCACCTACTATTGCGTAAGGAAGGACTATGGGATGTAGTTATTAATCCACCGGATGTAACTGTATGGAATCCAGAGAAGAGCAAAGTAACCCCAGCAAACAGAGTAAATGGTTTTTCTTCTAGTACATTCAGAATTACAATTTGAAAATTATTTTTGGACAGATTTGAAGCCCACAATCACAGTTTTAGGAGGTTACATCCCGTTTTTTTAGAGGCTGTGTTTTTCACATAAAATCAAATCTGGATTTCCTTCTGCCCACATGTTAAATGGAAAAGTTGCTATGAAATCTGCCCATTGGGCATGTATTCTGTGTACATTGTTTTGTGGAGTTATACTCTTAAAGTTTTACCGTATTTTTCGGAGTATAAGACCCTCCGAACTATAAGACACACCTACCTTTTTTGGTGTGGAAAACAAGAAAAAGAAATCTGCCTCTGACTCCCAGCAATTTTGCTTTGTAACAGCAAACAGCCTGCTTTACTTTCATTTTCATTTTCAGCATAGCTTGATTAGCACAAGAAAAAAAAATCTGCTCCCAGCAATTTACCTCCTTGCAGCAAGCAGCAGAGCCCTGCGCAAAACAGCTGAGAGCAAATCAGCTGAGAGTTGGAAGGCCGATCCAATCAACTTGTGCTAATTAGGCTGTGCTGAAGATGAAACGAACTGTTTCTTCTTGCTGCTTGGTGCAAGGAGGTAAACTGCTGGGAGTCAGAGGCCAAAGGGTGGGGGCCAGTGGGCGGTACATTCGGTGTATAAGATGCACCTAAATTTTCACCCCCTATTTGGGGGGGGGGGAAAAGGTGTGTCTTATTCTCTGAAAAATATGGTAAGTATGTAGTAATAATTGTAGATGGATTGTGAGATGACAATTTTATTTAGATAGATCTGTAAGTGCTACATGGGGGGTCTAATTTAATTTCCTATTCCTGTAATATTAAAATGAGAACTGATTTTATTGCTTTTAATAATAGTCCTACATAATTTAAATTTTAGGATTTCAAAATTGTCTGTAACAAATATTTTTTAATTGGAAGTTTAATCTGCAATCTCTGCTAAACCTAATCAAATATGAAATTTGATTACATGTAAGTGCAATTCCCCCTTATATCCCAAGCAGTTTAAATCCAAAGGTTTATTTTCCTGCCTGTCCCACATACTTTTAGATACATTGCCAAAGTTTACATTTCTCAGGATCAGAACTAGGTGGCAGTTAATTGGCAACATAACCAACACTCATAGTCTTAAGTAAATATAGCTTTCAGCTAACTCCCATCCTAACTGCATTTCCCAGAAAGGTGCTCCAACCTTTTTCAAATTTATTTGAAGCTATTTAAAATAAATTGAAACTGATCTATAGTTAAGATACTGTATAGTTTAAACAAAACATTCAGATTAAAATTCTTCTGAAAGTACTATATTTTAAAATTACCCCCTCTCTAAGCTTTAAGTACCATAACATGCAACATCAATAATAAGAGGATGATCAGCATCAGAGTTTTAATCAAACCTCTATGTAAACAGTTTCCTTCTGAGTTAGCACCAAAAGTTTACAATATGCAAAATAAACATAAGTGCAGTGTTATGATCACAGACATAAGGCATGAAGTAAATCATAAAGCAAAAAAGCACTTAACGTAAATAAAATTATAACAACTTCAAAAATCTATGCAGAGTTACAACACTAACTAAAGGTTGTGTAAGGCCAATCCTAAAACTACAACATGGCTGGAGATATACAGGTAATCCTTATAACTGATTATTTAATGATCAGTCAAAATTTCAAGTGCCTTATGGCCTGTAAAGACTTCTGACTGTCATAAAACATTGTGGCATCCTCCCACAGGCATGTCAGGCATTTGCAACAAACTCGCATTTATCGAGCTCAATAAGTGACTCAGCGGTAGCAATAGTAGCTAATAGAGTTCTCTTAAGGCTATCTAGCTTTTGTAAAATATCACTTTGTTGGACCTTGGACAGGGCACCAAAGGTACTAATAAATACAGCTTGTTCCTACTAGACTTGGCCTCATTCTGCATATCTATCTTATTCCCATGGCCTGGCTTAGTCAAGGGCAAATGGGGACAGAAGATAATGTTATTAACAACAGGTTTTATTATTTGGAAGACTGTGTAGGTCAAAAAGAGCCTTGATAGTACAGTGGTCTACGCACCCTGTTATTAATACAGCTGCCTGCAATTTACTGCTGGTTCGAATCTCTCCAAGGCTCAAGGTTGACTCAGCCTTCCATCCTTTCTAAGGTAGGTGAAATGAGGACCCAGTTTGTGGGGGCAATAAGCTGACTTCGTATAAATATACAAAAGGATGAAGGCTATTGCTTAACGCATTGTAAGCCGCCCTGAGTCTCCGGAGAAGGGCGGCATATAAATCAAATTTAAAAAAAAAAAAAGTAGCTGAGCTGAGCAAAGGGGTTACCCCTCCATCATGAAAAGAATAGCAAGAAATTATTTCATTTTAAATAATATGTGAGGTAGAATAGTTTGCTTAAAAGTAAGATTTGAGTAATGCCAGGCAAGCTTGGAAACCACTCAGTCAAATACAAGTCTATTTGCTGATGGTGACAGGGAAGAAGCTGTCCCAGAGAAATTACAACTTTTCTTTTGGAGACCTAACAACTAGAATTAAGGCCATTTCAAAAATATATGATACATGAAGGACAATCTGACTTAATTACAAGGAGTAAGTGAGCTTTGATGAAGTAACTTCTTTACTGCTTGAACACTTTGCCAGCAATTACATTTGTGATTTATTGTTACTCAGTCCCAGAGATGTTGGTTCACTCAGCTCTGGGAATGTCTGTTTGGCCTTGGACTTCAATAAAGGCAGAAAGTCTTTTTGTATGTTTTTGGGCAAAAACTTCAAAGTCACTTTTTAACAGATCCAGATTATTTTTAATTGCTCAAACACAGAAATGATAGTTTGTACTTTTATGTTTGTGATTTTGCCATGAATTAGTTGTGCTCTCTCATATCAACAGCTTCTCCTAGTCCTTAATATGTGCAATTTGTTCTTATTTTCTTTAGAGGAAACTAGAGTGTGAAAGGGGTGAAGATTGATAGCCAGTGATCCGACCCGTCTATTAAACCATGTCTAAAAGAAACAGAACACTCCAATAATTGTTCTTTTTCTGTTTCTGTATGTTAGTCCTCTTCAAGAGCCTCAAATTTATTAGAGATGAGAATTTACTTACTGTTTCTTTTTGTAGAAAAAGTTCATTCATTTTTGGTTGTTTGGCTGTCTTAGACAAATGCTACAAACCAAAACTCACTCTATGAGCCTTGGTGGTGCAGCGGACTAAGTGCTGTTATGTAGCACTTAGCTGCCAGCTGCCTGCAATTAGTGCGAGTTCAAATCTCACCAGGCTCAAGGTTGACTCAGCCTTCCATCCTTCCGAGGTAGGTAAATTGAGGACCCGGATTGTGGGGGCAATAAGCTGACTTTGTAGAAACACCGCTTGGGGCGGGGGGCAAAAAGCCCTAATAAGGAGGTATACACAAAAGAATGAAGGCTATTGCTATAAGTGCATTGTAAGCCGCCCTGAGTCTCTGGAGGAGGGCGGCATATAAATTGAACTAATAAATTGAACTAATACATAAATTTTTCCTTTTCCCTATTCTCCAAGTCAGAAATATTTTCTCTTTTCTTCTCAATGCCTGACTCTTCTTTTTTCTCTTTCTCAGGAAGTTACAAATGTATAAATGATATCATTTGCTTATTTTAATAAGTTAACACTAAACTAAAGAGGCAGCTTATAAAACAGAATCTCACAGAAAAAGATGTTAATAGTTTGCCATCTTGTCCTGGGGTTTTTTCTCCAGTATTACATGTCAAGAGTACAACTGATTTTTAAAAAGTAGAAGTAAAGACAGCTATCCTTACACTTCAATGTTGTATTTTAAGTCACAATGTTTTGGTATGGTTTAAAAAATTAGGAAAAAAAACCTAGCAAAATTAGCAAGTGACTAATTTTCTTCCAAGCAATAGAATAACAAGATTCACAGAAATTTCTATATAAAAAGGTAAAATCAAGCCTCTTTCCATTTAAGTTTAAATCCTTCTAATTATGTAGTCACATTCATGCAGTATCATTGGCAATAATACCGAAGCAGTTTGTTACTGGTTTTTGCCATTTTTTTGGTACTTCCAGATTCCGTGGTAGTCTCTTGTTCAAGTACATATTAGGATCAACTTTGCTTAACTTTTAAGCCATAAAAATATATCTATGTCAACAATATACAGATAATCCTTGCTTAACTGCCATTTGTTCAGCGATGATTTAAAATTATAATGATGCTGAGCAAATGGTAGTTATGGCTGGTCCTTGAAGTTAAGTCTGTTGCAACATCCCCACGATCAAAATTCAGGAGCTTGGCAGCCTGCCTTCATTTATGATCAAAGCATGGCCTTCAGCTCCTGAGAGCTACCTATTTTCTCTCCCCCATCTCTGTCTTTCTGGCTGCCCTGAGCTCTGGTGTGGCTGCCTATCCCTGCTACCCTGCACCACCTCCAGTTGACCTTTACTAACTTTTTCCTTTTGCCGCTGACAAGGCAGGTCCAGTCAAGGCAGCTGCTGGCCCCTAAAACATTGAGTTTTTAGGTGGTGGAATCCAGGATGGCTAAAAGGGCAGATAGGTGGATGGGAGGAATTGAAACTGAGGCAAGTGTGGCAAGGCAGGAGAAGCCTGAGGTCCCCACTTGACAATGGTATAATCCTTGCCTTACAACTGCAACCAGAACTACTGCAGCTGTAATTGCTAAGCAATGCAATCATATGATGTTTCATCTAAACGACATTTCACTTAGCAATGGAAATTCCAGTCCCAACTGGGTCATCAAGTGAGGACTACCTGTAGATGTTTTACAGGTGAAAACAAACTTTCCAGTGGCAAGAGTTACCCTGCGCTCTTTATTTACTCGTAAGAATTGTATACAAATTTCTTCAATTTGTCCAGTAAATGGAATTGGAAGAGATGTTAGGAACTCTTCGTTTATGTCTTGATAGAAAATACAGAATAACAGAATATGAGTTTGTGTTTCAGTATTACCATCATTACAAAAGTAAATCTGATGGCATAATACTTATGTAATTTAAATTCTCATCAGATTTAATTGTTTTGTGAATTTACCACTCCACAAAAATACAATTATATTAACCATTTAAAATCTCATCTTTATTTGTAGTGAACCCTGGAGGCTGGGCACCAGCTTCTGTACTACGGGCAGTAGCAAAACGAGAGTATCCCAAATTCTTGAAACGATTCACATCATATGTACAAGACAAAACAGCTGGGAAGCCTATTTTGTTCTAGTATTATCAGGTATGTATAATCCCTTGGGGTTTTTACAATATATAATTATTTCATCATTAACTATATAGTCACTTCAGATATGCTGAAATATTTGAAATGTTTCTTAAAATTAGTTTTAAATAATGTGGGTGTATGGGAAGTAAGACAAATTTACAATTGGAAGAAATAAGAGGTTACAGTTATGATTATAATTTTGGGGTTACATTCTTGATACCAAAACGTTCTGAAAACTTCCTCAGCACCTTCTAGGCTCCTAATCTCACTGAATCCTCCCTCCCTCCCTTTCTCTCAGTCTCTAATTAGGGATCTTGCATGCTGCAAAGCAAATAACCAGCTGTTATACAGGTAGTCCAACCACTTGTTTAGTGATCATTTGAAATTACAACAATGCTGAAAAATAAGACTTATGACTTGTTCTTGAAGTTGCAGCCGTTGCGGTGTCTCTGCAGTCATGATTGTGATCAGGCACTTGACAAGTGACTTGCATTTACTTTGTTTTAAAAAAACATAATTTTTATTAAGAATTTTGATGGCTATTAAAACAAATACAATAAACTGAGAGAAAGAGAATAGAATACGAAAACAAAATAAAAAGTTTAGGAAAGAATTATAAACAAATTTAGTATCTCTTCACCCCATATAAGGTTGCAAACAGCCCTCTTCATACTATATCCCATGTCTTATCTATAAGCAAATCCATAAAATTTCAATCATAGTGTCAGCAAAAAGTCCTCAAAGGATTGTCAGAACTTAAAAAAAACCACCTTATTTTAACCTTGATCAAATAAACCAACTTTATATTCCTTCTTTTTATTTCTGTCTTAATCTTCAATCAAACATTATCATAGAATTTGATCTCACACTTCCTTATCTCATTGCACAGATTTCATGAAGGTTTTAGCAAGTCTCTTTTGTACATTCAATAAGAAAACAATTTCCAAATCATTCTCTTCTTTTATCATTGATATTTCTCTTTTAATTTTTAAAAACTTTGGCCAGTTTCTTTTGGGTATCCAGTAAAGGCCTTTTCCAAATTATTCTCTAATCCAATCATTTGTAGTTCCACCATATCTCTTTCATGTCACATAGAATTTGTTGATCTGTCATTCATTATCATTATCCTTATTCCTTCATTAACATCTTTTTGACATAGTCTGTTCACACAAGCAGAGATTATTACTGATAGTGTTGATATAATTATTGCCTGCCTCCATTCTTCAATGATCTTTAATATTCCCAATACTATAACATTTGATGTCATTTTGTAAGTCCCAATATTAACTGACATCAAGAAAGGCTTGTATTTTCCCCTGCTTAGAATCCTAAGCCTTCCCCAATAGCATCTAGTTTCTAAAATTGTAAAATAACTTATCATTGTTATGACTTGCAATAGACAGGATTACCCAAAATAAGTGTTTCCCAGAAGAAGCAATTTATTTTTATAGTTAATCCCAAAATCTTATAGTAAAAGCCAATATTCCAAATTTATCTGCACTCTTAATCTGTTTACAAGCAGTTGATAGCTTTTGTGCTGTTTATCTCAAATTCTTTAAGTTCTTAAGCCTATAATTAATTTTTCTTTTGCTTGGAGTTGAAGACAAAACTCACCCAATGACTTTTTAGACTTATCATTCTGAAGATCTCTAAAAGCTTTAGTTAATAGGCAGTTTCCTAAAGTGATTAGTAAGTCAGTTTTGCTCCACTGCAGTTGCAAAAAAGATGACTGATCCAGTGGTGGGATTCAAAATTTTTTACTACTGGTTCTGTGAGCGTGGCTTGGTGGGCGTGACTTGGTGGGCGAAGGTTACTGCAAAATCCCCATTTCCTCCCAATCAGCTGGGACTTGTGAGGCAGAGAATAGATGGGGGCAGGGCCAGTCAGAGGTGGTATTTACCGGTTCTCCAAACTACTCAAAATTTCTGCTACCGGTTCTCCAGAACTGGTCAGAACCTACTGAATACCACCTCTGGACTGACCCCTTCATCTCCCAGTCCTCAAACCCACAGTTTCCTCACAAGGGGGAGCCATCAGAAGCATAAGCGGGTGATCTTCTCCTTATCTGGAGAGGATCTAAGAAACCAATATACTCACTGGATCCTGGGACTTTGCCATGGTCTTCAGTTCTGCTTTCACAAAGCTGTCTTCAGTTTGCCATATCTTCCTGGAAATGGCATCCACCTTGTATTTAGATTGGTTATAGCATCCTGCAATCAGGTTATTGTCATTTGCAACCTGCAAAGCCAGCTCCCAACAAGCAAAATCAGGGAGAAAAATCAGCAGGAAGTTGCAAATCACAGTCATGTGATGTCAAGCTTAATGACCCATAGTGACCTGCTAAACAACTGCAGCCATAAATCGGTAAAGTCACATGATGTTGTACTCAACAACTGCACCACTTAGCAATGGAATAGCCAGCCCCTATTGAAGTTGGTAAGTGAGGATTACCTGTAAATTTATAAACATCCTTCCTGACTGAACTCCATTATGCAAAGTTCAGAGAAGGAATAATTCAGATCAGCTAAATAGGCTACCAACAGATCAGTGTAGCTGGATACAGTCTTTCACCTTGTCAGGTGCCTGATCCAGGTCATACAAAGCAAGCAGATATGATAGAGATTCATTCCCAGCAACCATTTAAGCTTCCAGTCACTAACCATTGCTTTCAGATCTTAAACAAACTGCAAAGACTGCAGGGCAATCCCACTTCTGAAACATTACACCGAAGAAGCTTCAATGGGATGCAGGCTGAAAATGTCTGCAGAATACCTGATCATTACCTGAGGAGTACTTGGTACTCCCCAAACCCAGAGAATCAATTAACAAAAAATCATCAAAATCATTTTAATTTTGCTGGTTTTGTGACATCATAAATAGAATGCCTGCAAATAAATTAGTTGTGATGTTCAGATAAGACAATCAGTGTAAATTGTGCTTAGCCATGAATGCACCCAATTCAACAGCTGGCTTTGTTCAACTAGAGAAACACAGTTAAACCAATCTATGAGTTATTGTACCTTTGCCTTTCTTCTTACCAAGGATAGAGGCAGCAGATATTGGCCTCATTCCAGCTTTTAGTGGTACTGGACACAAGTGAGAGGCTTCATCTATTTTCCTCTTTCTCCCTCCACCTAGTGATTGGAACAAGGCTGTGTGAACATTCCATTTGGAGAAATGAACCAAAATGAAGGCTCCAAGCTGGAACGTAGGATCTACAGTCTTATGGGCCAAGTCCTGCATTCTGTACACAACTGAAGAATACTGCAATGCCATGAACTTGAATTTTCACTGTCTTCTGCTAGTTCACTTTGCTGAGTTGATGTGTAATTATAAAAATACATGTGTTGATACATGTATATGGCTCTGTTTGCTTGCTCTAGAGGAGAATACTACAATTTTGGGTCACCAACTTGGTTCATTGCTTTAACTTTTGAATAATTTGAGGAGATTTCGTTTACTGTGGGACTTCATAAGACACTTGCACAGTTCTTGTTTTTGTGTACGTCTAAAAAGCACAAGAGACGGAATACACATCTAGCATACCATATGTGCTTTATGTACACAAAAACATTATGTTATAACTTTTTTTCCCATCAGGTTTTCAGTAAATTCTGTGTCCTTTCAGAGGGGATTTGTGTATGCTTGTATAATCATAGTTCATTGCTGCTGAGTTTCTATGAGAAATCATATTATGTAAAACTTCTCTTAAAATATGAGGGCTGTCAGGATCTTTATGACTTGCCTTTTCTATAGTCTTGCTCCGATGAAGGCCTTCTGTGGTCTGATGGAGTAGGCATGAAAAGCTTTATTTTTTTCAGATATCTTTATATTTCTATTTTTAATTTCAGTTGTGTAATATGTGCTATAGAAATTTAATTCCAGAACATGATCCCAAAAAGATATTATCTTTTGGTAATATCTAGAGTTATTACTAGATACTATATAAGAAGGCCTGACTGCCAGAGAACAGCTACTGCTGTATCTTGCCCAGATTGTGTGAATATGGGCTGCTTTCTAGCAATTGGAACTTTAACACTGTGTAATATTTATTGAGTTAAATTGGATTGCTGAAGATAACATTCCCAGTCTTGGTGGGGAAAAATGCTATTGTTTAGTCCTACATGTTGTTTCCCATTGAGTAAAGCTATGCTATGAGATTCATCTATAAAAACTTGCCATACACTTAACATTTGCCCTATGACCTGACTTGTCAGATATGAAAACAAATGAAATCTAAAGAGAGTTCCCCTTAGTTGCTATGAGAAGTTAACTGTCAAGGATCTGACTGTCTTTAATATCAAGAAATACAATCTACAAAGGGTGAACTGTATGAAAAGACTGGTGGTCCTTTTGAGGAAATGCCTTGGGTTGTACTTTTAAAGTGAGATTAGCCAGATGACCTTTTTAGCTGTCAGCTTGTGTATATATATAAAGAGAGAAACAAGATTTGGATATATTTTTGAAAAAAGCAGAAAGTCTTTATTTCATATAGAGTAGCTGATGCCTGAAAACAAATATAATACTTTTTAATGAAGATTCAGCTAATGAAAATCTTCAAGGTTGGAAGCAAATTAGTTTGGGTATAAACTGATGTGTCTTTGGTACACTAAAACAGGCACACTCTAAGGTTGTTTTATGTACATGTATACAGAATTCATGCTTTTTAGTATCCTTTATTTGCCTTTCTCTAAATAATGTGCATGGAAAATGCCTTACTACAGAATAATTCTGATCATGATTTAAAATGTAGAAAAGTGCCTATAGGGTAATGCTGGCAAGGCAAAGAGTAAAGATGATGAATTTGATCTGTTTACTATCTCACCAGTAAGCATTTTGTATACCATTTCTTATACCTCAGATAAGTTTAATATTTTTGCAATCAACTGGAAAAAATTACTTGTTCACCATAGCCACTGATGGGAACTTCAATATCAAAGTAATACTTAGACCCTGAAAACGAAACCAACAATTTGCCATTCCTGATTATGATCATGGAACACATGCAGATAACTATTATTTAATTGGATAGCTTTATTTTAGAAAGAGATGAAAAGTTTACAAAGCAGTTTATAAATCTTAATGTCATTAGTTGCATTTGCACTAAATGTGATGTATTTTGCAAATCTGTAAATAAAAATTACACTAAAAAATACTATTTGTAAACTAAGCTTTACTTTTAGACAAGAGTTGTCACTTCATTACAGCTAGCCCAGCCCAATCTGTCTTGAAATTTCTTAGGATGTATAATAAAATAATTGTGGTCTGTGCTTGCCTAGTAGTTTTTAATGTTTTTTCCTGGAACAAATTTTTATTTTTATTTTCCAATTGATTAGTGGCTCTTTTCATCTAGCGCATCCATCCACCTGAGACTTTACAAGTGGCATCTTTTGCTATAATAACCAATGAGCAAATAATAGTCCTTACAGTTTTTTTATGAACTAAACTCTATAGTTAAATTCCGTGGATGTAGGTGGCTTTACTGTATCTCTTTATCTTATTGTTCCAAAGACTGAATAGCCACCAGAACCAACATTAACGTTAGAATCCTATCAGATGGTGGACTTTCATTTTTAGCTGGGAAGGGACAACATATTGATACCTATCTGGTTTTTTAAAATCTTTTTTATTATTATTATATTTTGCAATCGGACTAAATGTTATAAAATCCTTGAAGGGGTTAGAGATGGAATGCTCGGTCATCTTGAAAGAAATTTCTCTTACTTTATTTGAGTTGAGCTGACTTGTAAGAAGTTATACTGGTTCTCATTAATCAAATGGTTAAGTCAATTTTTCACAAATCTTTTTGTCAACTGTTCATTATATAAATGAAGGTGTATTTGAGTTACCATGTTCAATGACATGCTCAAATTATGAATCAGTTTCTAGAATGTCCCGAGTGTGTAAAATGTGACTCTTCTTCTATGATAGCTTTATGATCCTGTTAACATTAAAAATAAATGACTAAATGGAGTTGCCTCTTCCATATTACAATCACAGATTTGAAAACCAGTATTTAAAAGTGCAAAGTATTAAAATATATTACAAACACATTTCTATTTTGTATTTATTTTTTAATACTCAAGACTAGCTTTACATTATTTTGTTCTAAGAAAGAAACTACTAATACAATGCAGTTGCAAAAATGCTATTGCTTTTATGTGTGTCTGTCAGAAGTGGCCAAACTTTTTGGTGGCTGGGCTCTGCACCTAATGAGTGAAAGGCATTAGTAATGATTGGGATCATGAGTGAGGTTGGGTGGGTTTAATATTTTTTTCTGGAGTGTTTTACTTTTCCCCCAATACTTTATTGTAGGAGGCTTCGTACTATATATATATATATATGTCTTCTTAAGTTTTCGCGGGTGTGTATATGCAAAAAATTAAAATCTCGGGTGTTTTCCCGCGTCATGTTAAATAAGTTAATTAAAATGTTTAAAATTCTGGTTAAAATCCTAATTTAAAATCATCTAAAAATCCTTACAGAGCACTCTGCAAGGTCCTTTAAAACCTTAGCTAAAATCCTACCGGAACCTTAAAAGTTTTTCTTTATAGCAATGTTTCGACAGGCTCACAACCCTGTCATCTTCAGGCTCTTATCTAGTTTAGAAGCTGTGGGTGTGTTGCGAGGTCGGAGCTGTCGCTTTTCTATGTTTGCTGCTCCTGACATATGCTGGTTAGCCTGTAACTCTGTGTTGTGATTGGAGGACAGCAGTTTTTCTTCCTGCTTCCTCATCCTGGCTGTTTGGCTACGTGTTACTGGCCCAACTTTCTCAGGTTCTCTATTATTATCTGTCTGCTATGGCGGGGCCTCAGCAGCAGCCTTCATTTCTCCAGATATCCTTTGTTAGTGATGATGACAATGAGAGGAACATCAGTTGTGGAATCTACCCGGGTATTAATCCAGAACTGGTTAGCCTTTAATATTATTAATTATGGTATCCTTTTGATCCAGCTCTAAGCATGAGGTGTGAGATGCCTTTTGTTTGTAGTTGTTTCCCTTCCGATTTATGATAACAGAAATGAAATCGAGGCCGAAACTCCTCCATTGTTGAGTGCCACAGGACTCAACAGGACTTGCTTCTTATTCATATTTAATACTAGGATTAAGCTGTTCCGTAGGATCATTCATTGACTTAAGTTCTTCACATATGTTGGAGACCTTGAATGCCAATTATAATCTTTCCTGGAATGGGATTTATACAACATTTCATTCTGTTTCTACCTCAAAATGGTAGGGAAACGTGCCACAGATTTTCAGGAAGCCCGATCGTAACTACTCATTAATTTTCAAGCTTTAAATGTCAATTTATCAAGCCTGATCACATAGTTTCACATAGCGAAGCACAGGCATCCAGCTAGTATATAATAGAATAACAACATTTTATATGATTTGGCTAGTATTTAGGTTTGTCTATTTCATATGTTATCTAATTAGCACAAACAATGGTCATTTTTTTTCATACAAATGCACAAAGACTGAATGAATCACAAAATATCCACGGTGAGAAAGATGTGAGAGACTGAATCCAGGGTTATTCCAGCACCTCATACAGTTTAGATAATAAAATGGAAATAATATAAAGGCAAAGGCAAGAATGTTCATTATTTCATGAATATTCATTTTGATTTTTCAAATTTGTATATCCACCCATCTCACTAAAAACAATTATACAATATGGGATGGGATTACTAGGAAGCGGGGAATGGTAATTGTTATAGAAATGGCCTGGAATGTTGTGAACTGTAAAGCAAAAGGTTGAGGTTGTGTAATTTTTTTCTATCTTACTGCACTGAAAAAAGTTGGAAGCCACAACTTCTTTCTCTTCTCCTTTAAACATTGTCTGCCTCTGCATTACAAATATTGGACTTACAATGATGCAGTAATACATACTTGTTCTGCTTCAGTGAACTACTTATGCTCCACCCATGGATGGAAAAAGTCTCCATGTTTCAATTTCTTATCTTCCCTTTTCTGTTTTGCTATTCCCCATGAAAGGAAGGGAGAAATATATGTGATTTGTCTGAGAAACAAAATAGGGTGTAGGAATGTGGAGGATCAATTATTTAATTTATGTGAAGGCAATCTTTGAGGAAAGCGATCTGAGATTGGTTCTCTTCTCTGACTTTCCTCAACCACAACCTTAACTCTCAGGATTGGGAACAGGTGGCCCAGTATTGTGCTGGTTCTTCCCCCACCTCCAAGGTTGATACCAGTCAGTATTGATTGTGGGCAAGAGATTCTGCTCTCAGCCCCTATTCTGTGGGGTGCGACAGGGTTTTGTGCTTTCTCTGCTCCTATTTACATGAAGCCAGTGGGTGAGACCATCTATCACCATGAAGTGAAGTATCATCAGTAGGTTGATGATACCCAATTATATAGGAAGGGAGCAGGGTGGGTTCTACTTACCTTTACTACCAGTTCACAACATGCACATGTGCAGATTATCAATTATGTCCGGGCGGGTGGGCGGAACCATCCCCCTGCTTTTACTACGGGTTCTAAAGAACTGGACAGAACTGGGAGCAACCCACCACTGGAAGGGAGGGAGGGAGTGAGGAAGGAAGGAAATAATTGTGTCTCCTTGCATGAAATTTATCTTGCTTCTTTTTCAGCTAGTATCTGTTAATGATCCATGCTTATATACTATTTATCTGCAAAGAACTTTTACTCGTAGAGAATCCTCTTAGAGGTTTAAGCTTTCAACTCAAAAAATGTGACTGATGGTAGGATCTATCGACCCTTAGCCTAAAGCAAAGCCTTCATCCCTGCTCTAGTGCTTCATTTGAGGAAGCATCATTCCCCTTTCTGGGCTTCATGATGCTATCATATTCATAGGTCAGCACATGCAGAGAGTTACATTTCAGGTTATTCTATAGATCAATGCTCTGATATGAAGGAAAAGATTCCTTTGAGTCCAACTTGACTCCCGCTGATCGATCAATATATTTATGTGGTTTTGTCAGCAAGCGTACAGAAATATTTGGTATTCTTCTGAAATGTTCTTTCCATTTCTTCTCCCATCAACTTTTCAGTGTACAATGCTAACAGGTTAAGCTGTTGTGTTATGAGCAGTAAAGCTGTGCAATGACCTGGACTTGCGAAGAATCTATGATGTGGAGTACCCGAGGTGCTTATGTAGCAAATGTCAGCAATTCCTTTAAAAAGTCTTTCCCCAGAATTTAATGTCTCACCTTGACAGCCACAGCAAAGAACTAGGAACAGTTGTGGTTGATTTTAAAAGTTACAAATAGATGCCACATACACTACATACTTCCATGCAATGTTAACTGCACCAGTTAACAGTGGTGTCCCCCAAGGAAGCATTTTAGGACCCACACTATACTTTACATAAATGACCTTTGCGATCATATTATAAGCAACTGCATTCTCTTCACTGATGATGTAAAACTATTCAACACCACCGACAATGCTGCTACCCTACAAAAAGACCTTGACTATCTATCAGAATGGTCAAACAATTGGCAACTCCAAATCTCAACCAACAAATGTTCTGTCTTACATATTGGCAAAAAAATAATAATAATGAAAACACTAAATACAAGCTGGGTGGATACGACCTTGTAGATGACCCTCACTCTGTTAAAGACCTTGGAGTCATCTCACATGATCTAAGTGCCAGAGCTCACTGTAACAACATTGCCAACAAAGCATTAAAAGTTGTTAACCTAATCTTGCGTAGCTTCTCTGGTAATATTGAACTGCAAACCAGAGCATACAAAACTTTTGCTGGACCAATTCTTGACTACAGCTCATCTGTTTGGAACCCGCACTGCCTATCGGACATTAATACAATCGAACAAGCCCAGGGATATTTCACGAGAAGAGTCCTCTACTCCTCTGCTTGCAACAGAATAGTTTATGCCACCAGACTTCAAATTTTGGGATTAGATAATTTAGAACTTCGCTGTCTTTGGTCAGACCTAAATGTAGCACATAAAATTATCTGCTACAATGTCCTACCTGTCAATTACTACTTCAGCTTCAATCACAACAATACACAAGCACACAATAGATACAAACTTGTGGTAAACTGTGCTAAACTTGATTGCAGGAAATACAACTTCAATAACGAGTCATTAATGTCTGGAATGCACTACCTGACTCTGTGGTTTCTTCCCCTAACCCCCAAAACTTTAACCTTAAACTGTCTACTGTCAACTTCACCCCATTCCTAAGAGGTCTCTAAGGGGCGTGCATAAGCGCACCAGCGGGCCTACTGTCCCTGTCCTACTGTTCCCATTTATTCGTACTCATTTCTTATGCTTATTCTTATACCTGTTTATACTTATATGTTTATATGTTATGTTTATACTTATACTTATTTTCTCATACATGCTTGACTAAATAAATAAATAAATTCAAATCATCTTGATTCATAGCCCCAATGAGCAACCATTCAGACAGACTTTTATTTTAAGCATTCAAAAGTCTATTGAGTTTTCCACTTCATGTCACATTGCAGTAACAGATGAATGCCTGCAAAGTACATGAGCCATGTTCCCGTTATGCATGTACCTGCAAGTAATTTCTGTTCAGCTCAGGGGACTTTATACAACTCTATGGTATTAATACGCCACAGAGATGCTTTCACATTTGTTCTCCTTTACAGTAGAGCACTGGTTAAGTTTCAGAACTGCTTTGAGAATAAGCCATCTTATTACCCCTATTGGGGCCCACAGCCAGAGAGAATAAGCAGCAGAACTGCATTGCATCCTGTTTCAAGCCCAGAAACAGTCCAATGAAGCAGAGGAGTTTCTGCCTGAGCTGGTGTGATGCGATGAAGAGCAGCTGATTGGTTCTTCTGCTTCTGGTGTGACTCTTCCATGGTTACTGCAGAGCAGCGCTTGAGCTAGGATGATGAAAAACCTCCTTATGGTAAAAAAAAAAAGAAGAAAGAAAAGAAAAAAGATACAGGCAGACAGTGGTTCAGTGCAGCCACTGTTCTTGCTTGTATAAGGTTAAAAATGGTGCAAAAAGAGTGCCATTGGATGTTTTGTCGCAAGGCATCTGCCGACAACTTTTTACATGT